TCGATTTTTCAAGGAATTTGTAGATCCTCTATTCCGCAATTCCTTGATATGAATCCGTTGCCAAATAAACCACATTCAACTGGGGAACTCTCAGATCTTGGGTGTACAAGTTGTATAGGGAATATAGAATATTTTATGAGGTACTATCGTATTCTACATGAGTTTATTTACCTTTTTGTAGAAAAGGTATTCCGTAAGGTATTCTACAGGCTGTTCTCCTTTATTCCTCATTTCTTTCATAAATGTCCCTTGCTCAATAAGCTGCATAAAGCTTGGGTTCCTTCTGATTTACCCTAAGTAAATCCTGATCTATACGGTTTCTGTCGGATATCCCAAAGGGGATTCTCTAGAGCATATACAAGGTATAGGGGAGTATCATTCATAGGGTTTCTATAAGACATTCTGTAAAGTTTTCCAGATGGTGTTCTAAAAGGCTTGTGTAGGGTTTTGGGGTATCCCAAGCTGTAACGTATAAAAGGTATTCTATATAGGGTGTATATATAGGACAGATTTCTATGCGGTGTTTTATGAGTTACAGGGTAGTCCATAAGGTATATACAAAGCATATACTGCATAAACTGTATATGGTACGACCTGAGTATTTTCTATGAAACTCTGGACGGGATAAGACACTAATCCATACTGAACTTTAAAAAATCTTCCTTTACAAGTAGGTTCCTGGTTTCCATCATGGGAACCCGTTACTCAATAAGCTACAACTCAGCTGAACATTCGCAAACCTTCGGCTCCGACTGATGTTCCATATTTGACATCTATCTGTAAAGTATTCTATAGGGTATTCTAATACGGGAGTCTACGAAGTATCCTATAAGATATTCTATGAGGTGCATATTGACAGGCTGTATAATACCTGGTGCCCTAAATTTTTACAAGGGAGGGGCGCGCCGACATGATCACAAGCATAGGGGGGAGTTAGGAGTACAGATGCGATCAAACTGTCAAGCACAGCTTTCCGTTCGCTAACCTCCACTGCAGGTTTAGGGCCCTACGGTTTAGGGCTCTACGGTTTAGGGCCCCTTGGGTTTAGGGCCCTACGGTTTAGGGCGCCTCGGGGTTTAGGGCTCTGCGGTTTGCGGCCCTTGGGGTTTAGGGCCTTACGGTTTAGGGAGTTGATCCGCCCCGGACTTAAAGCCCTACGTTTAAGTTTTGCCAACAGATGTGTGAAATCCCTGTCCCTTTGTTTAATGCGGTATTTACAGGCTTTTTGCTCGGTGGCGGATCACTTCCGCCAGATTTTGCCCGGATCCCTAGCCGTTGTTTTGACGCGGTATTTACTCAAAACATCTGTCTTGTACAGCTGGGCTCCTCAAGGGGTCAAAGCATCTAGCTTGCACGGCTAGCCTTTTCTAAGCTCAAGACATCTGTCTTCTACAGTTGGGCCCCTCCAAGGGTCAAAACATCCAGCTTGCAGGCCATGTGGCACATAAAATGGCAAACCGATATGTTTCGTGAATATTTACATGGTTTCCAGCCACCTGGCTGCATTAAAACCAGCATTAAAAAAATTAATGCAGCCGGGCCCGTGGAACCAAGAACCAAGATTCCCAGGAGTCTTGAATCCTGAATCTTTGTTCCACGGGCACCGGCCGGGTTGCATTAAAATCTGCATTAAAAAATTAAATTTTAATGCAGCCCGGCCCGTGGAACCAAGAACCAAGAACCAAGATTCCCAGGAGTCTTGAATCCTGAATCTTGGTTCCACGGCCACCGGCCGGGTTGCATTAAAATTTGCATTAAAAAATTAAACTTTAATGCAGCCCGGCCCGTGGAACCAAGAACCAAGATGCCCAGGAGTCTTGAATCCTGAATCTTGGTTCCACGGGCCTGGGTGCATCAAAATTTTAATTTTTTTAATGCAGATTTAATGCAGCCCGGCCGGTGCCCGCGGAACCAAGATCCAAGATTCAAGACTCCTGGGCATCTTGGTTCTTGGTTCTTGGTTCCACGGGCCTGGCTGCATTAAAATTTAATTTTTTAATGCAGTTTTAATGCAGCCCGGCCGGTGCCCGCGGAACCAAGATCCAAGATTCAAGACTCCTGGGCATCTTGGTTCTTGGTTCTTGGTTCCACGGGCCTGGCTGCATTAAAATTTAATTTTTTAATGCGGGTTTTAATGCAGCCCGGCCGGTGCCCACGGAACCAAGATCCAAGATTCAAGACTCCTGGGAATCTTGGTTCTTGGTTCTTGGTTCCACGGGCCTGGCTGCATTAAAATTTAATTTTTTAATGCGGGTTTTAATGAAGCCCGGCCGGTGCCCGCGGAACCAAGATTCAGGATTCAAGACTCCTGGGCATCTTGGTTCTTGGTTCCACGGGCCTGGCTGCATTAAATTTTATTTTAATGCGGGTTTTAATGCAGCCGGGCCTCTGGTATAGTCATGTTCGTATACACTAATCTTCGTATACCCAGGTCCATGTTGCGTGTGTGTGCGTGTGTGTGTGTGTGTGCGTAGGTGATGGGGTATGGTATCCTGTGTGTAGGCCGACGGGTTTGGAGGTAGGTCCTGGGGGGGGGGGGGGTACCATATATATATATATATATATATATATATTATACGTATATCTAGAAATACTTGCAACTTTATTATAATTAAACGCGTATGTACAGCTGTATACCATATGCGCATGCATGAGTGTAAGTCGATAACAGTATAGATAACAGTTTGCATCATAACACCCAACTACTTCTTGTACTGTCCGTTGAAAAACTCCGACGGCTGGGCGATGAAAGGACGCGCAAGTGGTAAACGTGAGCATCTTCTCCTACAAGGCTGGTGTGCAAAACGAAAGACTTTCCCGAATCCGGAGCCTCAAACAAGCTTTAGTAGCACGGGGGCCTTAAAATGCAGAAAAGGGTTTTGGGGGCTACAGGGACTGAGTATTCCGACCTGTGTCCTAAGCTCGTAAACAAGAGACAGGCCCGCCCGCCGCCGCGATGGGCACATGAAGGCAGGGTCGAAGCAAAAGAAGCACGGCTTGGCTTGCCCGTACTCGCCTTGCCAAACCTGGCAAGGGCACTTGGGGTTGTCGGCATTTCTATAAGTGAGGGGCTTGCCAGAATCTGCTGTCGATTGCACAGTTAAAGGTTTGAATGTGCATCTTACTTTCCAATTGAGACTTGAGCTTCGACTTCAGCTTGACAACTCGTGGCTAATACACGCAAAACCCGATCATGCTAGGAGTGAAAATCTCAGAAACGGCAAGGCCTTTCCCGTTCCGGCAGCTGTCCGGTTCGTAGCTATCCCCTCTACAATCTAAAATTGGGTTTAGAGTTCAGGGTTAAGGGTCAATTAAGACCTGAATGTTACACCCAACTTTGCATCCTCCTTAGGATTCCTTCTTTCGACGCCCTCCTCGCGTCCAAAACTTCTTCGCACGATTCTATCCGAACTGCGACCGAACCTGGAACCCCTAACTATTGAGTTGGGGTTGGTTGACGAGTGGTACTACAGGTACGGCTCGATCGTCATCGTTGGAAGTCGGTGTGTTTTGATCTATCCTAGCCGGCTTACCATGCGACCGTTGTTGCTGTTCATGGCTGGCCGTGGTCATACGGTAAGTATGGGCATTCGCCACGTGACATGACTAGCCCTAGTTAGTTTCGTCACTACGCATTTTTCCTGCCGTACACCGAATACAGAAACGCCTCCATCCATTCCCGAACCCCTTCTGCTTAATATCATGTTGTATGCGAGTCTCATTCTAGGGCTTTTAGGGTTTACGGTAGGGTGTCATAAACTGGTATAGGCCCAGATGGCCCAGTACATGACCTTGTGGAATGCAGAAGCTCCTCCAATTACCAAGCGAAACCCTCAGGCATCCGAAGTCCAAACCTAAAGCCCTCTTGCGCCTGTTCCAACCACCAGGCTACGACAGCGTACAGCACCACGTCTACCAGCATGAGTAACCTCGGGAGCGTGGTTAGGGTTTAGGGTTTATAGGGTTTAGGGTTCAAAGGGGTAGTAGTCCCTAAACCCTAAACCAGAGTAAGCATGCCGTCCCCACGTCCAAAGGCCCCTAAAACCAAATCAACCGAATATAGGGGCCGAAACAATTACTTACACTATTTTGGGGGTTCCTTGTCATAATAATAGTACAGTCGGCCCCCAAACCCCATGAGGCCCCTACATTACGGACTGTTCTTACCTTTGGTTAGTAGGGAATGGAAAAATGGTAGTAATAGTAGTTATAGTTGTACCCCATTCCTCCATTCCCTACTAACCAAAGGTAAAGATCCCTTTAAAGGAACCCTGGACCCCTATAGATCCCTTTAACGGAACCCTATAGATCCCTTTACAGGAGCCCTATTCCCTACTAACCAAAGGTAAAAATCCCTTTAAAGGAGGCCGAGGCGCATGCTCTCTCCGGCAGAGATGCCAATCTCAATAGGAGCAGGGCATGGGTCCGGAAAGGTCGCTGTGGGGCAGAGCCTCAGTGCTTCCGTGTCTAGGTGTGGGCTCGGGGGTTTAGGGTTCCTTTAAAGGGGTCTATAAGTGCTACTACAAGGGATCCATAAGAGCACTATAATAATGTAGGCTTTTGGGCTGATTACTCCGGCTTGTGCTTACAGAAAAGCCGCAAAGTAGTTACTTTTTGGGGTTCATATATATATATATATATATATATATATATAGAACCCTAAAAGGTATTCCCAGAAAGGAACTACTATGGGGCCTCTGGGTATTAGGATTCATGGATTTGCGTGTTCAGGAATGTTTCGGGTGTTACGATTTAGGGCGTGGGCCCGTCTTGGCTTTTGATTAACGTTGGGAAGAGCACGGCAGTTCGCACTTTCAGCTACTGACGCTGCCAGCTTCAATTGAAGCCTTAACCCGCCACAACTCTCTACGCCCCTTCCTCTAAACTCCAAGCTTGAAGTGCTCTTGGCCGTTGACGACTTTTGGCTTTCAGGTTTCGGCTTCGTGAACTGCCTGGCATTCCACAAAAACCCAGGCTTCACTCCTTGTGGGGGGTCTAGTTCATGGTTCAGGACTTAGGGCCGTTTGGCATATATTTACCGAGCTGCAAACCGTCTTTTGTAGGGCATGGGTTTCCGAGGCGAGATAGAGTACAAGAAGCTCGCTGGCAAATAGGGAGCGCATGGTGAGGCCCTTGGTGCAGCCCTCCGCATCGCAGTAGTACAGTGCCTCGCGGGATGGTGCCAGTTCTGAGAAGTTGAAAGAATGAGGACCGTAGCCGTAGTAATAGCGGCACTGGTATCAGTGTATCGAAGCCACTACGGCAACAATAGTCCATAGACTCCATGCACTATTTTATGCAATGTCTTGGTATTAAGATGACTTCATGGAAATGTGGTACTTCAAACTCCGTGCGATGCCAGGATAGATCGCGGGCCTGCCGCAGGGGGATTCCGACCCTGTAAGCGCTCAAGAGCCCTACAGCCCTACAGCCACGACCAGCAAAACCCTCAACCCTACATACGTGGAGGCTCATGGTAGTTATAAGTAGGGTTATAAGTGGGACAACTATACTTGTAAGCCATGTTAGAGCACTTATAATACCACTTCTAACTACCCATGAACCTCTGAGTAGATCCTACATAAGCCCTAGCCCGTAAACCCTCAAACCGCATATACCCTGACCAGTCCGCTCCAATAGAAGCTGGCGAAGCTACCTAAAATTCCGATAAAACACCAGAAGAGACTGTTAAAACCCATAATTATCATAGAACCCTACTGACAGAAGCCCCGATGACACCCCTAAACCCTAAACCCTAAACCCTAAACCCTAAACCCTAAAGCCTAAAACCCCGAAGCCTCATTCCAAAGGAGGCCCGCAAAGCCATTGAAGACGTTGACGCTGGGGAGGAGTCCGGCGAGGTACCACAAGATTTTCGGTAAACCTGGCTTCGGCGTGTGTATGTATGTATGTATGTGTGTATATATATATATATATGTATATATATATATATGGGATTATATAGGGGTTAAGGTATAGGGCCTTAGGATAGTTGTTCGGGAGTATAAAGGTATGAATTAGGGTATAGGATAATCGGTTAGGGACTGTTTGGGACGGGAGTTGTAACAAGCTTCTTTTTGTGTTCTTTAAGAGTGCTTAAGGGCTTAGAGGTTGAGGGGGTTGAAGAGGCGAAGGTGCGGGGCTTGCAGATTTTGGGCCATCTCCTGTGCCAGGCAGCTGCCAGCGACACGAAAAACTATTTCGTGTCGCCTCCGAGCTGCGGTGAGATGAAGGAACCCATAATATGATATGATGTGATATGCATGTCCTGAAGGCTGAAAGATGAGTGTAGACCATAAGCCTTAAACCCTGAGCCCTGTGTCGCAGAATCGCTGTTTCAACTGGCCTACAACAAAGCCTGATGTTTGTCGCTTGCTTCGGGGTTTGGGCTTCACTTCACAGATCTGGGTGGAATTCAGATTTAAGGGCTTCTAATGATTCTAATGCTTACCTCAACCTCGAATAACCTACCTCTCGCAGCTTGTACTGTAAGAAAATCATATTCCTAAAAGGCAGGTTCTCAGGGTCGAGGTAGGGCATAAACTACGGTTCTCTCTGCACCCAAGGTCTCGACATGCGCAACCCAATCAACAGCCATGCACGATCTGCCGGGATCCAACGAAACCCAAATTGAGAAGTCCACATTGAAATGACCCAGACCCGTCTCGATAGTTAGCCTAAACCAGGGAAGCCAAAAGCGCGGAATCCAGGAAGATGGGAGTTGCCGAAAATAGGGGACCCTAATATAGAACCCTAAATAGTAGGATGCCCAATATAAGGACCCCAAAATAAGGCACCCCTAATTTTCGGAAACTCCCATATGACTTCCAAACCCACTGATGCTCTGCAGCGTCTAACCTCCTGGTTCCACCTGTCAAAACCCCCCGCTCCTCGTAGAAAACCTTGAAGCCCAACTGCGCCGAGAAGAAGGATGAAGCCAAAGAAATCTCAGATGTGTGGCTCTCTCTCTCTCTCTCTCTCTCTCGTTCTCTTTCTCGCTTTTTTGTCTCTCTCTCTCTCTCTCTCTCGTTCTCTCTCTCTGTCGCTCTCGCTCTCTCTCTTTCTCTCTCTTAAGAAAGGCAGTGTGTGTGTGCCTCATTGCTGAACGAGTCGCTAGGCAGGACAGGTGAGAGACTGCGATGTTGGCTTAAGGTTTACCACTACTGTAGCTGGTACGATTACTGCTGCTGGTGTGAGTGTTCTAGGAATGAAACCATATCACTAGTACTATAACGGTCATTTCGATAACGAGTACGACCATTCCTATTTACCAGCGTTCTCATTACTCTGCCAGAAGTATGGTTCTCATGATGAGGTATCTCGCGTTCTTGCATTTGCTTCTCATTTGTTGCTTGTGAAACCTGTTGTGATGCTATTGGCAAATATTGACATAACTGCTGTTTCTATTAATCCTTTTGTACTCGAACTATTATTACTATTTTCGCACCGTACCATGCCAAGATGCCCCAAACCAAGATTACCAAGATTGGCAATTTGTTGGTAATCTTGTCCCCCATGGCCGACCAAGATTAGCAATTTTTTGGATCATCTGGCACTCCACAGAGAATACCAAGATTCAAGATTACCAAGATTTAGCGGTTCTAAATTGTCGGCGCAACGTACTGGTACTTGTCCAGGCAATGGTGCGGCGTTGCTGGGGCTGGAGCGATTTCGAGCGATCTGAAGGCGAACATGAGCACGGGACTATAGCGGGAGCACGATGCCCGGCCACAAACTACAAACAGCTCAAAAGGCTGGATTTAGGGTTTTCATGCGCTTAGAGTTTATGGTTTGGGGCAACAGCTCAAAACACCCAGGGGAAGTGACCGGCGGATTTGCTCGTAAAACGGGAGCTGCGAAACTGGGGGATCCTTTACGGTGCATGTACGAGAACCCCATCGTACTACTAGGTCTGGGATTTTGGAGTTTAGGGTTCTACTCTGCTCGGGGTAAACTCAACAAAACTCACATACTACCGGTTACGGGGTGCGGCATACCCTTGGCGGTTCGAAAAAGCTTAGAATAGGGTTTGGGGGTATGTTTCGCGAAGATTGTATTATGTCGCGCCCAAATCTGAAATCAGGTCCAGGAAGCTGGCTGCGCTTGATGCCGCCTGGGTCCTGTTGAAGAACACGGCGATGATGGCAGCAAACTCCAGTTGCTGCATGTACGACCTCGCTGCATCATGCAATGGCATGGTGGGTGTAGGGTATAGGGTTCTTCTGTCGGAAACCCTTACCTACTTCCTAACTTTAAACCCCAAAGAAAGCAGTCTGGGCTTAAGATTGAAAGCGTGGGGTTTTGGATGGCCCAAGAGCCGCAGAAAACGTACAACAAAGGTCAGGTTCGGTGATTAGGTACGAGCTAGGTGTTGAGGTTTACGGGCTTGCTTAGGGAGATACAAAGGGCTGTGAGATATCGGTTTAAGGGCATGAGTCCAGCAGGGTTAGCATTGTGATTCAAAATCCGGCCGGCTCCCATTGCTCTGCGACCAAGCGACAGTGCCATCACATAGAGCACGAAGAGCGGGTTCGAGTTTGAAACCACCGGTGCAGCGAGGGTAAACAAACCTTGGTAAGAGGGCAGACATCCGGGGGCCTGAATGACGAGAATAGGGCTCTGGGGAAGATTATTATAAACAGTACATATGTATGTATATATATATATATATATATATATATGTTATATACATATACATATATACATATATATATATAATATAATATAATATAATATAATATAATATAATATAATATAATATAATATAATTTAATTTAATTTAATACAATATAATATAATATATTATTATAATACAATATAATATAATATAATATAATATAACACAATATAAAATAATATATTATATTATATTATATTATGTTATACTATATTCTATTATATTATATTATAATAATATAATATAACATAATAAAATATAACATAATATAATATAATATAATACAATATAGTATAATATAATATAATATAATATCATATCATATAATACAATACAATATAATATAATATAATTTATTATAATATAATATAATATAACATAATATAATATAATATAATTTGATATAATATAATATAATATAACACAATATAATATAATATATTATGTTATATTAATTTTATATTATATTATATTATATTATAATAATATAATAAAACATAATATACTATAATAAAATACAATATGGTATAATATAATATACTATAATATAATATAATATAGTATAGTAATATATATATATATATATATATACATATTCGGGACAATACACGTGCACGAAAAATGCCTGTGTGTATATATAAACACATATTGTATGTGTGTGTGTGTATATATATATATGTACAAACCTTTGTTTTAATATGTGTGTGTTTTTGTGCAAATGCACCCAAAACCTGGTTCCTGACAAATTGGCACAGATATCAATAGAAAGAACGCGGACATACATACTACCTCAGCTTTACTAAGCATCAAACAAAATGCTGGCTAAGTGTCATCTACGGGTGATATGGATTCATATTCACGGTATGCATCGAATCTCGTCTCACATTTCGCCGAGCTTGGGAAGAAGTTATGCTATCGTAGTGGAGGCTGAAGCTGACTGTGAGATACAACTAAAAGTTGTAGCCTTATAACCCCCCCGCCCCCCGTTTCCCAGGGCCGGGGAGGGTTCTGCCCAACCAAGGCCGCCAGGGTCTAGAGTCTAGTGAGTCTAAGGTCGGGGCCTTCATAAGTAGAACAGGGTTTTGGGGCCCATTCTACTATAACTATAATAAGGAATCCCCAAAAGTATACGCAATTAATGGTAATTATTCCATACCCCTGCCAAGAACTTTGAGACACGCCTCAGAATCCTCAAAGCCTGAAGACGGACACCCCGAAACCATCTGAGGAGCAGTAGAGCAGCACCATGCACCTTGGCTCTTGCGGAGCAGCTTCCGTGTGTGGGAGGAGGTGGCCAAACCTTCTTTTGCATTACTGAAAGGAAGATGAGGTGAAAGCATGCCTACATATAGACAGGTTGCGAGTCGAACTGTGCGAAAACTTTTATGGTCACGGTCTACAGTACAGTAGAAGCCAGAAAGTTGGAACATGGCTTTAGGAGGATTAGTGCTAGGATCCCTCATACTTTACCTTAAGGGCATGAGGATAATGATGTTCCAACTTTCTGGCTACTACCATAGGGTGTCGGATGCGAGGCGGGCATCGAGGTACGGAGGCCTTCAAGTCTGCAAAACAAACTGCAAGCCGTAATGATAGCCCGAGGCACACGAGGGAAACGATGCCGAAGTAACCTGCCCAGGAGACCCAATACATCAGCGGCGTTAGCCCATAGATTTCCTGCGTGACCTTGCAGGGAGGACACAAAAAATGGAAGTTGACTGTATGAGATATATTTACGGATGGGGATTCGGCCATTAACCCGGTAGAAGCCCATGTCAAGCATGAAGGGACGGGCATCACTTCGGAAATGGAACCGGCAATCATACTCTTTAGGGTTAAAGGCCTTAAACGAAGAAGACTAACATGACACTAAAGCCTACCTTCTCAACCCTATGAGGGACAGGGAGCACATCAAGGTTGAATCTTCGCAAGTTGTGCCTCTCTTTTCTTGAAGCTGTCAAGGCTTTAGGCTACGGTTTGCAATTGCTCTGCTTCAGCTGCGGTCACGCCCTTTCTTTTGCGCAAAGGCTCTCTCGATAAGAAGAGCAATAGAACTGGTGAGTTTGAGCTGGCCACGGCGGCCACTGTAGACCTGCTCAACTTCTAAACAAACTCTACTGACACCGACTCTCACCCGCCCTAAACCGTGCAACGCCCATAATGGTGCAGAGCTGCAAAATGTCCGGAAATCGAAGAGGTTCAAGCTCTGGCACTCACCCCCTCAGCATGCTGATGGTGTCGAACCCCACCTCCACCTCCTCTTCCACTTCCCTTACCGCGACGAGTCGCCACCGAAACACACCCCCAGCACAGTCTCTCCCAAACCCCCACCACACCGGCACGTCCACGATGCTTCCGCCACCCTCTCACCCCAACCTGTGTCCCCAGGCCACTCCCGCACCACACCACAAAGCCGGTCCTTTGCTGAATCAGTTCGTCAGCTTTTGTTTATTTCCAGGACCACGTCACTGCCACTGCCATCACCACTACGACTACGACCACTCACTGACACACCTGCCATATCCCCTCGCCTTCCCCACCGCAATCCCCGAGGTTTCGGCGGACAATCGAGGCGAGGCATGTGGTTCAAGCTCTGCTGAGTGAAACTGCAACTATATGGGGGTTTCCGAAAATTGGGGACCCTAATACAGCACCCTAAATAGTAGGATCCTGATTATAAGGATCCCAAAATAAGGTACCCCGTATTTTCGGAAACTCCCATATGGAAATGAATCGCAACAGTGAGCCCAATACCGAAATATGCGAATCTAGAAGTCAGTTCCCGAGGTCCCATGGCTCTGTAAAGTCTAGTCACGGGACCTCATGGCCTGAGGCTCTTCTAGCTGGGTTTAGGGTTTAGGGTTTTAGGGTTTAGGGTTTAGGGATTCTAGCTGTAGATCGTTCTCTCCTAAAACCTAAACCCTAAAGCCCGAAACCCCAGCCCTCAAGAATCTCGGGTGACGATGAACGAATAGAAAAGACCAAAGGAGGGTGGAAGGACCGGGAGTGGCAACATGGCACTTCTCGCGATCTGATGTAGGAACCTCTTCGAACCCAGGCTCTACTCCGCATCAGCTGGGAATCGGCAAACGGGCCTTCATTAGGGTTCTTAATATGGATCTTACTATATCGGGGGTTACTGTATAGGCCCAGGGTTTCTTAATCAGGTTTATATTATGCTGGAACCATCTCGGTTCCATGTGGCGTGTAAGCGGCCAGCGTCCCTCGAGATTCAGGGTTTGGGACCGCATCCTGGTTCGATTGTTGACTACCGAATTGGCTTTGGGTCGTGTCAGGGATTTTAGACAGTTGCCATAGTAAGGAAACCCCATTACCTACCATAGGTCCCTATTATGGAAACTTAAAACAAGTTCCCTACCAAAAGCCCAGTAGCTTGAAAAACACGGCTTGGTGTTGGAATCCCCAGCGCCCAACTCAAAACTTGCTGCTGTCTGCCTTCATCTTGGATTCCTTCTCATTGACGACTTCGATGATAGCATTTGTCAGCGCAGCTTGTACCTCACTCAGGGCTGGTGGCTGGGTAGGGCTGGGTTCGGCCTTTGTCCACATACTGCATTTCAATAGGATGACCAGGAGTTAGGCAAGTTTTCCGCATTTCGAAGCGACAACAACGAGTTCACGCGAGGAGCTTTTGCAACGACGGTTTTGTTGGGCTGCAAAGGCCTGGAGGAGAACCATGCTGTCCATTTATTGGGTGCCGAGGCGCAGCAAAGGCCATGTACAGCGGGATGATGATGGCCATGAATATTGCACCCATGTCCGCGGGCAAGTCAGCAAAGATCTAGGCAGGTCTAAACTCAATCAGGCATGATTCTCTCTACGGCTGAAACCTGCTATTGCGCGGTCACCGCATCTAAGTATCAATAAACAATTGCTTTGACAACAAATGTAACCAGAACGGCAGAGCAATGATCAAGCAGGCGTGCTGCGCGGGTCTACACATGCTCGCCGCTGTAACGTTTTCACGGAACCTGCCAGAGTTCCACGAAAATGCCTTGAACCACGCCTCAACAAAACCATCATTCTGACTGTTGTCTGATCCGTACGACTGCTACTTTGGTGACCGATTGCCAGGCAGATGACGTGGAAGAAGACCACAGAGAAGATCCCATACAGCAAGGCAGGCCATACCGTCGTCAGAAGTCGCTTCCTGATGAGGCATTCAAGGAAGCTCACGGAGCCCAATCAGCTGAAGTGGTGCATCGGGCACACTCATATCTCTGTTTCTGGAGCCTAATATAATATCATATCCGGCATCAACCACTCTCAGTCGTGCTTGCATAATCTTCGGCGATAGTACAAGTTGAAGATAGGAATTTGTCTGTGTTGCTGGGTCCCTGTGTTCGGCTTCCTTATCTTATGAATTCGGTTTCTAGCTTCGGGTCCCTGAGCCTATGTAACTATTCCGAAACTTCGCTGGTTGCTAGTAGAAATCTGAGCCTAAAACTAACTACTTCCGGGTTTTGGAAGCTGTAGAGGTAGCAAGGGCTTGTTAGATCGATTTCACGCAAGGCAGTTGGAACAACAGTATCTCCCCCCAGCCCCAAAGGCTCTCCGATTGATTTTTTTCGAGCGAGGATGGTGTTTTCAAGCGCCGATCGAAAAACAAAAAAATTCAAGCGTTCGATTGATAAAATCAATCGAGGATCCACATAGTACACGAAGTATAAATTCAATCGAGGAATCGAGCGGGGACCTTCATAAATTCAATCGAGGAATCGAGCGAAGAATCGAGCGTAGGATGTTAAAAATCAATCGTAGACATCGCAAAATTTCGTATTGTCCTGTCTAACAAAACTGATATATATATATATATATATATATATATTATGTATGTATGTGTATATACATATGCCTATATATATATATGTATACATATACATATACATATATATATATACATATATACATATATATATATATATACACATACATACATACATACATACATACATACATACATACATACATACATACATACATACATACATACACATATATGTATATATAGCATATCGAGGCAACTGTGGATTTTATATCTAGATAGATAGATAAATAGATAAAGACACATAAAGATATATAGAGATATGTGAAGATATGTAAAGAAACATAGATCGATATAGATAGACAGATAGATGGATGCATAGATAGATAGATGTAGATTGTTTCAGTGCAGGTTTTGATTTTTGTGGTTCCGGGTTTGATGTTTATAGGGTTTAAGTTGGGGTTCAGGTTATCGGGTTATGCGGTTTCTATATATAGGGTTTATGGCCTATAGGGGTTTTGGGGTTTAGGGGTTTCGGCGCATAGGGTTTGGGCCTATATATTCACATACATACATATACATACATACATACATACATACATGTATATCATATATACATAGGGGTTAGGGCCTATAGGGGTATGGGGTTTAGGGGGCTTGGGGTTTAGGCCGGGGTTTGTGGTTCAGGGTCCGGGGTTTGGGGTTTATGGTTTAGGGCTTATAGGTTATTATATGTAGGGTTTCAAGAGTCTGGACAGATTCTTGATGCCTGGTCTGGATAGACCTTCTTTCTTAGTATAGGGTTAACGAGTCTGGACAGATTCTTGGTGCCTGGTCTGGACAGACCTTTTTCTCTAAACCGTAAACCCAAAACCCTGATCCCTAAGCCCTAAACCTTAAACCATAAACTCTAAACCATAAACCCTAAACCGTGAGTCTGGACAGATTATTAATGCTTGGTCTGGACAGACCTTTGTTCCTTAAACCCCAAACCCTGATCCCTAAGCCCTAAACCTTAAACCATAAACTCTAAACCATAAACCGTAAACCGTGAGTGTGGGCAGATTCTTAATGGTCTGGACAGACCTAAACCTTAAACCATAAACCCTAAACAATAAGCCCTAAAACCTTAAACCGTGAGTCTGGGCAGATTCTGGATGCCTGGCCTGGTCTGGATAGACCTTCTAGGGTTTATACGGCTCAAGATTTCTGGATCCTGGATGGTCTGGCCAGACCTTTTTATTTACCAGGTTGTTTTGTGTGCTACTTTTTCCTGTCTGTCCAGACATTGATGGTCTTGGCAAACCTTTTTTATTTACTAGGTTGCTTTGTGTGCTACTTTTCCTGTCTGTCCAGACATTGATTCAGCCATGAAATTATATGCTAAACACAAGATGCACCATGCACGACATGTCTGTCCAGACATTGATTCAGCCCTGTCGACTTCATCCTAAAACACAACATGCACCATGCATGACTTGTCTGTCCAGACATTGATTCAATCTTATTGAGCACGTTTTTTTTCTCCTCACTCCTCATCTTCATCCAGATTCAGCCATCCTCGCAGCAGGAGCTCGTAAGCTAAGGCGAATTTTCCACAAATCTTCAGTGGAATCTGGTAGCTCGGCGTTCCTCTATCACATGAAGCAGCGATTTTCTTGCACACCGACATGAAACTCTCAGGGCCATAGGTCCAAGCAAGTCTGGGTGCCATCCATTTACACTGAACATGAAAATGTGCCATCAAGTGGAACTTCTGGGTGACACTGTACCTCTTCTTTCCTCTGTTGAAAGCATCTCTGCTCAAGAAAGTGTAGTGCAGGAGCAATCTGTCAATCGCCTTCTCCATGCTTCTGTGCCTGGTATCCAATATAACAACAACAAAAGTCTGCCGTTTATGTTAACCTTTATGCGGTTTATTTCAAGGTTCAGGACTTGGTATATGGGAAAACCACAAAGCTCAAAGTTCAATTCATTTCACATGCATGCAAGCTACTCCTTTCTGTCAAAGCGATACTTCTGGCAGTCACACAGCTCGTAAATCTCGTCCATGGCCTTCACTGCTTCAAGACGATGCTTTCCTGCCACTGTATCCTTGTACAAGTCTGCCAACCCCACAGCCACACTCGAGAACTCTCGTATTCGTCGCCCTTTCACATGGCTCAAGCACGGGTACCCAGTCTGACTTTGAATGTTCCCTTTGCTCAACTTCGGGATTCTGGCAGCAGCTGGGGTCGACTGACTCTCGTACAGCTCCTGGATTCTTGAGTTCAAAGCTCCAATGGATGCAGCGAAGCTCCCAGGTAGGTGGTCCTCCAAGATGTCGTTGATCAAGTTTCCATACAAATGCGAACTGACTCCAAGGTCTAGCATGTGCAACACATCAAGTTTCGGGGACCAAAAATTGATCCCTGGAACTTTAAACAAAGGGTGATCATTTTCTCTTGGATCTCTGGGTTGCTTTCTCCACTCAGCACTTGCTCTGAAGTCATTGAACGGGGCGACAGCATCTGCATCTTTGAAAAGGTTGTCACACTTGCAGTAAGGACACAAATTATTGCTGTTCGCAGTAGGCCATCCGAATTCCTGCGAGAAGAACTCCAAGTCTCCTACCAAAGCCATGACCACAGCTTTGTGTCGCGAGGCCAACAGTGTCAAACTTTCACAGATTTTGTCCCACAAAGCTGGCCACGATCCAGCATTTGCTGATTTCGGCAAACAGCCGATCAGCAATTCCGAGGTCTTAATCGACCTCTTGGTTATCATGCATCGCATGCTTATAATCAAGAGCGAATCTGTCTCGCTGAAAGAGGCGTGATCGCCGTGGAGGATCAACGGAACCGGTAGCGATTCCATCACATTCACGTCTCTCCAGAACTGTCTGCTTCTCCACAGCTGTTCATTTTCTCGAAAGTTTTGGCATTGCCAAAATTCTCGGATCTCATTCTTTGTTGCCTTATATTTCTGAAAAAGCCAATAGCAGCGAATCAAAGTTAAACTCTATCCTTAACCACTGAGAAAACCCTGCCAAAAAAAACCTGCAAAAAACACAAAACTCAAAGCTCAAAGTACTCGCCAAGTTGCAGTGAACATCTCCAGCACATCGTTCTTCTCCAGCACATCGAACCACTCGTGGGGAAGAAGCAAAGGCACCTGCTTCGACTCCACCACGGCACCACCAGATTTCTTGTCTCTCAAGGACACCGGGGTGCTGATCAAGGTACTTTCTGGCGCTCTGCACACATTCAGCATCTTCATCAAGTCTCTGTGGCAGTTCTGAGCACTAGTGCCTTGTCCTCCCAGCATCTGCAAACTCGCCAGGTCTGGGCTGGGTTCTTTGCAGCTCCGAACTGCTGCACTCGCCATTTTTTGCACTTGAGCAGCTGAAAGTCGTCCAAAAGCGAACTCTTCCAGTAACAAGAGTCTCAGAGGCGACGGGGCCGGTTCAAGAAGGTTAGCCTTCCTCTTCTTCCCCATGGCCTCTCTCACTTCTCACCTCTTTGGGTGAATCTACATCTTCGAAAACATGCTCGAGCAGCTGCATCAAATATCATCGGATTCCATTCTGCTTGTCCAGGCACTAATGCTTCGAAGTGCAGCAAATTCTGCCTGTCCAGGCATTAATGCTCGGAAGTGCCTGTCCAGGCATTAATGCCTAGTGCAATATATTCTGCCTGTTCAGGCATTAGTGCTCGGAAGTGCCTGTCCGGGCATTAATTCCTGGAAGTGCAGTATATATTCTGCCTGTCCAGGCATTAATGCTCGGAAGTGCACTTCCAGGCATTAATTCCTGGAAGTGCAGTATATATTCTGCCTGTCCAGGCATTAATGCTCGGAAGTGCCTGTCCAGGCATTAATGCCTATAGTGCAGTATATATTCTGCCTGTCCAGGCATTAATGCTCGGAAGTGACTGTCCAGGCATTAATTCCTGGAAGTGCAGTATATATTTTGCCTGTCCAGGCATTAATGCTCGGAAGTGCACTTCCAGGCA